TTTTATTAATCAAATTTTAAAAATATAAAATTTGATCACTTACGTTATTGTTTTAAGTTTTAGTAGCTTAAAAGTTGAATGTAATTAGTTTGGTTACGTGACCCGTTAATAAAAATGTTTAATTTTTCTCCAATATTTATTATTATAGGTTCAATTTTTTTTCTAGATTTTATTATTAGGGATATATTCTTATAATTTATTTTTTCTAATATTTGTATAACTGTCTAACTTTTTGCCAATATTTTCTTATAACATTTGTTATTAAGGATCCAATTTTTCAATACTTGTTATCAGGGGTCTAATTTTTTTAATATTTGTTATTAGGGGCATACTTTTAAAATTTAATTTTTTTTAATATTTATTTGTTATTATGAGTTTAATTTTTTCAATACTTTTTATTAGAGGTATAATTTTTTTAATATTTTTTATTAAGAGAATGTTCTTAAAATTTACTTTTTCTTTAATATTTGTTATTAGGAACCTATTTTTTTCAATACTTGTTATTATGAATCTACTCTTAAATTTTTTTTCAACACTTGTTATTGTGAACAATAACTTAAATTACGGTATGTAACTAAAACTACGATCGTTATGTAGTGGCGACGACATCGTCCGAAACAACGATATCCACAACAGTTATGTCCATAATAGCATATGTTATTGAAAATTTACAATCCTGATAATTGTAGTGACTACAATATCATCAATTATGTTCACAATAGCGATAAATACAATGCGACCAAACACAATGCTACCAAAGACACAAATGCAAACTATAATTTAAATCACTAATTAGATGTCTAATTTTTTATTTACCCGAGGGTTATCAAAATCTCAGAAACAGACTTGAGCAGAAGTACAACTACATGTAACCAGGAAGACGTATTGTCCCATCCAACTTTCTTGCTCTAATAGCAATTTTGGTCTCTATCAAATCATTCGTTAAACTAAACTCTGGTCTTCAGTTTTTAGGTTTAAAGAAGTTAAGAATCAAAGAAAAAGAAAGAAAACGATGACTGGGGGAGTAAATCCTGATTTGATTTATTTGTTTGGTCTGCATTCTATCATAATTCTCTGCATGTTTAACGATAGGAACATACACACGATTCTATACTAGGAAAAATGAATTTTAAATTTTTTAGGAGATAACGATCTAATAAAAATTTAGGAAGATAAAAATATATTATCAATAAAAAATAAAAAAATAATATATGATAATTTTATAGACGATAACTCACTCAATTCATTCATACCTAAGGATGGCATTGACAAAGGAGCTCATAAATATCTCATGTGGCAAGTCGCAACCATAAAAATTCACAACTGAATTATAACAATAAATTGGCATCGTCACTCAATTTGTGGTCGCATTATGATTATGTTGTGATGGTAGACGTAACAATGTCCAACTCCAAGGGGTTCTTAAAGATGTGTTTAAAAAGGAATAAACTTTTGGCATAAAACCAAAGCAGGAGAGCAAAATGGTCCAGGCAATCTTAGCAGTTGCGGTTGAAGATGAAACATGTAGTTGAGGGCATGATGCTCCATTGCATTTAATGCAGATAATGATGTTGCGGACATGACCTCAAGCCTTGGCCAAAACCATATCAAACTTGGTGAACCAAAACAAAAACTGATCATCCATGGCGACTATGGTTGTTACAAAGCGAAATCGATGCGGACTACTTCTGTCTCTCTGCTGTACTGATGGAGCATTATCAACAAACATATTCACAACAAATATGGCATCATTTAGAGCCACAATATTTGAACAACTTGTGCAGCGTGGGGTTGTCATTTTTGGCTGTGTGCCAACTATCCTATATGCATCTTTACCACAATGCTTACCATCTATTATCTTTATTTAAACGTATCAAAATTAGCTCTGATATTTATCCGGATAATTATTTTACTTTCTTTTTTCCTATACAGTATTCTATTCCTTAATGTTTTAATTTTTATTTAAAATATTTTTTATTGAAATAAAATCATTAATTGACTAATAGTTAACGTTGTTACTGACATAAAATTTTTACATGTGTTAAATTATTAGCGTGTCACATGCCACATCACCCAAATGATGTTTCATATGTCACAACACTCAAAGTGACAATGTAACGTGTGTCACATTACTTTAAGTGATGATACGTCATGTGTCATGTCTCTTAAAACGATGATATAACATGTGCCATGTTACCCAAAGTGATAACTTGTCACGTGGCTCGTTATCCAAGACAATAATAAGACATATGTCACGTTATTCAAGATGATGATATAACATATGTCACACTATATAAGGTAACAACATAGCATGTGTCATATCACTCAAAGTAAAGACGTGACATATGTCACACCACATAAGGTGATGATATGTCATATGTCATGCCGCCTAGGATAATTAAATAACATGTGACGAACTATCCACTATGATAACATAGCATATATTAAATCACCCAAGATGATGATGTGATATGTAACACATCATTAAGTATATTGTCATATACACACTTGATCACCTTAAAATTTGAATTTCTCTCTATTTGTTATCTATTTTATTAATTGTGCCAACCTAAAATTCTATTTATGTTTATCTACATATAAAAATTTTATTTTGTTAATATGTATATACACACACCTAAAAATATTTATAATTTCATCACTGTTTATATACATGTAGAATGTCACATTAGCAACACACATTAACTGATAATTAACTAACGATTTAAATACAATATGAACTATTTTAACTAAAAATTAAAATATTTCAGAAAAAAAAAGTTAAAATAGCCATTTGATTAAATGTTGAGAATAATTTTGACATGATGTCTATTATATAAATAGCATTTGTTAAAGTTACAACTTACAACTATTCGTGGTTATTTGCGTTTTTTTTTTCCCAGGTAAAACGGGATCGCTCTTGCGAAATTAAAGTCCTTACAAAAGGAGAAACGAATAATTGATGGGTCAAAACCCCAAACCAAATCTGACAAACGGGCTATCCCTCAAAACGTAGAAAGGCCCTATACACTCGATAAAATGCTCATTCATATATAGTAGAAAGGGCCTTTATATTTTAAATCATAAATACAATTCAATTTCTGTAATTTAAGAGATTAAACCAGAAATCCCGGTAAAGTTTTCAAAACTCTGTAAATGGGGTCATTATTTATACTGTTAAACGCTGCTGCTAAAATGCAGATAGCTGTTCTACATCAGTGGGATATAGACTGCAACCCTGATGAGGTTGACATTGCAATGATTCTCGATCCCTGTGTTTAATAATTTTCCCCACCTTTGGTGTGGGTAGGTGTAACATTTACTGCCTCCAAAGTTTCTGTATTACCAAGAGGGGTCCCATAAGGAAATCATTTGATTCTGTCAAATGCAGCCACTTCAACTTTTTTTTATTTTTACACCCCCATCCATCATCATTAATAATGGCCCAGAGGTAGATAGCCATCACATTTGTTCCTTTACCTCTTTCTTTCTTCCACGGGATCAGTGCTTCGAATTATTGAGATTAAGCATCAATGATGTTAAAAGGTGATTTATTAGTTCATTGACTCATACAAAAGATGAAGTCACTGACAACTACGTTGATATTTTATGTGGCCATTAAAAATTAGGACCCATCATGCTAAATCTCGTCTTTAACGAGTTAATGGTGCAACTTATGGACAATTGTGAGCATTTTCATCATGGGGAAGGGCAAAAATTATTGTAGGTGTGCTAGCCCCACGTTTTCATCATACAACATGATTTGTATGGGATACACACCCTTTTATATTTAGGTTTGTATTTGATGCCTTATCTTTTATACCGATAAATATCCATTGCGATAATACATAAAATACAAATCAGTTAATGTTACCTTAATAATTTGAGAAAGACATCACACGAAAATAATACTTTCTTTTATTGCATATCCATAGTCTTGTATTCTTTAAATGACCACAATTTTATGATTGAATTTTTTATAACTATGCATAATTCGTTAAAAAAATTTGATAGTTATGATGATCATAAATTTGACACCAACTACTCTAAAATAGAGATATTTATACTATAGTTAAAGAAAAAAATGATATACTTTTCTCTACACTTTTTCTTCTATATAAAAAAATATCAACCAAAGATCGTTCTGACATTGATCAAAATTCTTCATTTAAATCATAAGGGGTTAATTATCAATGATGGACGACACCAAATTTATTCCCATCAACATAATGTATCATGATGACTTTCTTTGAGGAGTAACATGCTTCAATATTAGAGTATAACTTTACCAAGGAACTAGTATAACAAAATCCTACATCTGCTCATCATGCAATTAATAATTGTAATAGTTGGCTTGTAAATGGCACATAATGAGATGATTTAAGGTTCTTTTATTATTTCCACTAGCTCTCAAAAGGAGTAGAATTATTTCGAGATCTATTTGTTCCCGAGGAATTATAGGGTTAAGAGTCAATAAGATAACAGATAATCTGACTTTGTGAAATGAATCCAAAACAAGTGTTACTATCAACGACCTACTTCTTAACGTTTTCTGCTCTAATTTTCTCCCATCAATCGACCCTACACAAACTGATCCAACACCGGCTTTAACAATGTTGTCTCTAGTTTCTGTCTTAAAAACATGTGATTTTTGCTTCAAAACTCTCATACCATCAAAAAGGAGTGCTTTCTCCACAACATGATTGAAAATCATGGATGGTGCAGGGGATAGGGTTCACATAACCCTCCTTTTGGGGTTGCATAACGCCAGAGTTTATTACCATTATTTAATTCTTTGGTCCCCCCCATATGACATCTCGTGAGTATTTTAGCTTTGTCTTAAACATGTCCCACTCTAGAGCAAGAGTACGAACAATTTTTTAATTGGTATCATTGTTATTTTTTTAATGAATTATGCGACTAAAATTTAAAAAGAGATATAATTTTTTTAAAAATTAAATAATGAAAACGAAAAAAATAATAATAATTGAATAACTAATGTACCGCAAGATTTATACCATTAACTATGGGATAATATCATACAACGTAGAAACCTAAGCGAGAATCAAAATATAAAAACATGGGATAACATGTTTTAGGCCATATAACGTATTTTACAATGTACCCAAGAGCCCCTAAAAGCCACGCACAACTAGTGGCGGTGATGTTCACACTCGACAGGCATGACGGGGAACCGAGCAGTGTCGGAACAATAGTCGTACACCAAGTGGTTAGCCCTAACCCACACCAGCTGGTGACTCTGGTGCAAACTTAGCTCCGACATTGTAGGCTCATCCCACCAGAACCTCTTCTCGCCGCTGCTTTTGCATTTGTCGGCAATCTCATCGGCCGACACCGACACTGGGCACTCACACGCATCAATTTCGAAGCCTTTGTAGGAGGCAATGAACGGGGCATGGCTCCAATCAGTCTTCACTAGGCCACCCCTTGTGGCCCAGTCATCAGCATTCCAAATCGAGCTGTACACACCCATGGCTTGATCTTTCGGAAATGGAATTCCTTTGTGTTCCATGTTAGTGTGAACCCTTATCGGGGTCTCATCCACAAGAAATCTGGTACCAAAAAAAACAGATACATACGTCAAAACAACTCCAAAACCCATTAAAAAACAATGCAAATATCCAAAGGTAATTTCCAAGATGAATTGAGTTTTAGGTCCCCAATACAGTGAATGCTACAGTTCAAACACAATGCCCATGTTAATGCCAATACATGAACGACAACTCTTATCACATATCACAAGTGGCTCCTTCTATAAAGGTCTGTCCTTTGTATAGTTCTGCAAACCGCAAAGTGTCAGAATTTAACACGAAAGGAACCGACTTTTAACCATCCCATTACAGTTCACCAAACAAAGAGGGCAATCAGAACATAAAAATATCGTATCTACGTATATATCTTATATACTCACACAACTTGGCGTTGGTTCCATAGGACGGAGTAAGAGTGAAAATCCTTGGTGGGATCAAACCAAAGGTTCATTCTTTGCTCCCTATTGCCCACACCGTTCACATACAAATTGGTTTGAACAAGGTAAGGTTCACCGGTGGTATTGCCAAGGAACTCGAAATCGAACTCGTTGTGATACGGACCATCCGATGACATCTGTGTTGAAAGAAAACATCATGTCAATAACAAATCATTATCAACCCCATGAATCTAGTAAGGTCAATTTAATGATAAGTTGATGAAACGCCTGAGCGAGACATGCAAGTCGCAGTAGATTAACACAGTCCAACTAAAGCTTTGGGAAAACAAAGACACCTTACTAGGACATCATTGGTGTCGTGGACCACAATGGGGACAAGGCTAAATAAATGAAAATGAATTTGACTTTAAAGTGAGTCACGAGCGAATAGAACCGTGTAGCTGATAGTATTACTAGCCCGCACATTAAAGGAAAAGCCCAGCTTTTGATTGTCTTCAACCGGGAAAATTGTTCATTAGATAGGTATATATTATTGAATGGGGGACCCTCGGCTATTACTTTCCATACGTACGCAACTGAGTTATTATCCACCCATCGTACAGTCTTTTTTTATCTTGTTCAATTATATTTTTATCGGTTTTAGTCATGTTTTAATTGTTCTGATACTGTTTAATTAGATATCAAAAGTCAATACTCACATAGTATGCAGTGACAGTCCCAGCAGAGTCGCCCTCTACAAGCTTAATCTGCATGCTAACTTTGCCAAATAAATATTTTCTTTTTGACGAAAATCCAGCACCTAATATCATCAACCCAACATTTTCATTAGCCTACAAAGTTCATTAGCTTTACAAGAACAAAACTTTAAGTATATATCATGCAGAAATGAGAAGAGTAACAATTTGATAGCTCAATGGGCAGCACCAGAATGCAAATGTGATGAAAAACAGGGACTTTTAATTTGAAGATTACCAGAAAAGTTATCAAGTTTGAGCTTAAGGATGTCTCCTTCATTGATGAAGTGATCGTTAGCCCAAGCAGGGTGGAAAAGCTCATCAAACTTCGCTGAGCTACCCAGCCCCAAAAATGTATGTCCAACAAAGAAAGCAATAGTCGCAGACAATTTAAAAGAGACAGCCATGGAAAAAACAGAGGGAGGGAGAAGGAGATGAGTGAAGCTTCAACTCAGAGGTTGAGAGTGGGTTCTCATTTTTATAGCCAAAAATTCGACTGGCTTCATTCGAAAGGATCAGATGGGGGCAGGATTCCCCATTTCAATGGCCACATCAGAAGCCACGTCACGTGAGATATTTTATCCACGTGAGATTTTCAAATATACATTCTGGGTTAAATCAAGAAAATATCTTCATGCTACTGTTTAGATTCTATATTGGTCTTTAGACTTCAAAATCTTGTGGTTTTCTTACCATAAAAATCTTAAGAATATATATGTTTTATTAATTAGGTCAATTAGTGAAATTAGTTTCAACCTCAAAGTTTAAATGTTATTTTGAATTTGATGTAAAATATATTTTACAATAAAAAAGTAAAATTATAAATAAGTATTTTCTTAATAAATAAAAATATAAAAATATTAAATATTAAAGAAAAAAGTAGGAAGCATCAAATAATGTGTAAGAGGATTACTTTTTTGACATGTTACGTCGAAACAATTGAAATAATAATTCTTAAATAAACAACCGTTGATTATCGTAAGTATATTTATAATTGAGATAATGCTCGAATTACAATTATGAATAACATAGAACAAATATCACTTAATCATTAAGATAATGATATATTTTATTTTTCAATTATATGTAGATCTAGCGAGATGAGACGTTAATTCTATTAAGTAATTAGGAGTTCAAATCATAATGTTGTAGATAAAACAATTTTGATTAAGAGAATCACTCTCATAATTAATCTCTACAAAATAAATTATTTTAATTTAAATTTGCTGTATATAAAAATTGAGCAAACATTTATGTGAAAGCTAATTGATGGACTAATAATAGAATGACTTGATTCTTACTTTAAATATTCGATCCAAATGTTGTATAATTTGAGACCAATTTAAAAAAATAGGCTATAATTCGAGGGTTCATGAAGCAAATAACATGAAACATTTTTGAAAAACGTAACCGTTACTATTCCAATAGTTTAGGTGGGACCAAGGCAGAGCAGTGTGGCAGGAGTTGTCTGGGTTTCGAAAGTGACCGTTTGCAGATTTTGATGCAATGAAAGGAAGCCACGACGAGAAATACAGCTGTTGCTCTTAGCTGTCCAGTTGTCACTGGCAGTATGTGTTCGAAATTTAAAAAAAAAAAAAAAAACCCCCTCTTTGCTCGCTACTATTCGATATTCCAAAGCCCTTTCTTTGGCTTTTGTTGAAAAAAAACTTTGCAGATGCCACAGCCAGCTGGACACTACAACTGTGGGGTTACATTTCCATGTCTTTAAGTTTCAAATTCAAAGTTGTGGGGGCAGTTTCATTCCAACGAAATGTAATCTTATAAGGGCTTGAGATGTGTGCCATTTGAACATTTCTCATTTAAACAATGAAAGAAAATATTTACCTTTAATAGCCATTGAATTCACAATTTAAAAGAGAGAGTTTTTAACCACCTAATTTTAAACATAGTTGACGGTATGTGGCATCCGAAAAACAAAAGTATCAATGATATGACCATCCAGCAATGAGGATCGGATGACAGAAAAATTGGGGGTTGGTTGATTGGTTCGAAAAATACATTTTAAGGTCTTTTAAGATTATTCTCTAGATCTTTAATTTTGGTGATGTTTAGAGTAATTTTCAATAGATAATGACGTGTTTATGTGATTTCTAGTGTGTGTTTAAAGTCCCACAAGCAAATCAAAGGGAAAAATGAAGATCAATTAAGTTCTTGACACGAGCTAAAGTTGATTCAATGAGTAGTCTATGATACTGCTCATTAGCACAGTTGTAGAAAGTATGATAGCTTAAGAATAATCTAAATCGCTATTTTAAGTTCTGAAACCAATAGGTTTTAAAACTGGATTATTTTTTATTAGAAAGTTAACTTTATGAAAAGCATGTTCAGAAATGATTATGCATGAAAATACATGATTTTAATCTTCTTCTTTTTTCATGAATATCATGTCGAGAAATAATTTTAATTATAAAAGCATGAGATAGGTGCTTGTTAGCATAAAAGTGATGTATCAATGAATATTTGCCCTTGGAAAATATACTGTTAACAATTATGATACGTGCTATGAAATGATTTAAAGGAAAATCATGATTTTTGTAGGACGTATCACAATAAAGAAATGATGAGTTTAATTTGGAAATGTTAGTTACAATTTAAGTACGACATAAGGAGATCCGAGTGTTTGATGTTATAAGTTGATATTTCGTTTCACACATAAAAAAGAGTTACTATGTCAATAATGAAAGAATGTGTTGACTTTATTTATATGTACATATGATATACTATTACTTAAAATTAATTATTTTAAAATGACAATAAATAAGCATGAGATGTTATATGAAAGAATATGTTTTAAGTAGTGATTTTCTTTATTAATATAAGGTAAGTATAACGTATTATATGTTCATCATTTGATATTAATGGCTCATATCACTGGTATTGTTGGTGATCGAACCTATAATCTTTAAGAATAATAATAATTCATTTATCACTGAAGTCATTGAAGTTTATGTAAAATTTATATATCACTCGTGCGATTGTATTTTTATGGAATTCGTAAATAATGAAATAAATGTGTTACATGTGATGTGAAGGCAACATGGGACTCTACTTTTACTTTGGGAATTAAATTTACTTTTTATTTTGAGTCTTTGTATTTGGACTTTTAATCATTTATTTCACATATATTTTCAAGTTGATATGTATGTAATGCATGATATGTTTTATTTTATTTTATATTTGGATTATTTTTTTGTTTATAGTAGTTATTTTAACGTTATTTTTTAAATATTTGGTATATCACCGTTGTAAAAAATTATTATATGACAGTGTTACGTTTATAATTTTGTTAGAACTTTATTTAAAAAAAAAAAAAAACTGAACTCCTTTACTATCATCAACTGTTGTCGCCGTCACCCTTACAATTGCCGAACCCCCTCCGTCATCCCTTATCGTTGCAATCCCACAAAATCAGAGCATCTGTCGCATTGAACCAAGCCCCTTTGCTTGGTACACCTGTCGTACCAAAGCATTAGCTCCGAGCAATGAAATTTTGCTTGGTACAACTATGCTTTTGGACTGCAGGGAAATTAAGGTCATTTCCTATTCATTAAGGGTTTAGCCGGAGATAATTTGGACGGGTGGAAACGTACAACTGGATGGGGAAAATATGGGTTTTCGGGTTTAGGATATTAGGGCACTGACAAGGACGACGACTAGTTAGAGAGCAAGCAATAAGGGTGAGTGGATGTTTAATAACGGCACGATCGAAGATGGATGGTCGATGAGTTTAAAATTTATTTTTTAGATTAAAAAATTTTGGAACTTTTTGAAAAATAATACATTTAGTGTAAACTACTCTAAATACCATTGAAAATTGTCTATTTACTCGTTTGTATCATTAAATTTTTAATTTTATCGATATAACACCAAATTTAGTTTGTATTTAATTATGTCACTTTATCTTTAAGTCATAAAAGGTCAAGACATGATTAATAATTATTGACGTTGTATGCCACACTAAAACGATATTATTTTGGCAATGACTATTGACGCTCAAAAGGACATCATTTTAAGCACTAAACTTTAATATTTTATCGCCTCAGAATTTTTAAACAATTTAATTTTTGGCATTGTTCTTTCCAAACATTACTATTAGTCAAACACTACTTGTCATCGGTCATATTTCACTCATCTTTTTTTCTCATATAATTGTATTTTTTTCATTATATTCTCTTGAAATTAACAAAAATCAATTTAAAAATTCAATGTATTAATATTTTTATCTCTTTCAAGACTATGTAATGAGGTTAATTTTGAAGTAGGTTATTTGTTTTATCAAAATAATAATTTTTTATAGTTAAAATTTTTGAACAAAAACTTCAAATCACAAAAATCTAATAAATCTTCAAACATAAAAAAAAATTTATACACTTAAAATGAGTAAAAAATATAATGTAAATATTTATTTTTTCATTAAATAATAATTTTATGCATTCACACGAATAAAGAATTAATAAAAAAAACTGATGATTTGAGCCTTCGAATCCAATAATGATGCTTGTTTGCAGAAAAGATATACGGAGAGGGATCTGAAATGATGAGCTTGTACGTAAAATCTTTTTTCATGTATCGTAAAAACACCTATGCAAAAGCAAAACAAGTAAATATCCGTTATTTTTTTTATAATAATGTAGTCGATTTTTTTTTATTCAAATAGAGCATCCGAGCGATTATTTATTTAAATGAGTTGAATGTTATCGTATACGTTGAAGTCGTACTAAATTCTCCGCATCTCTCCAGGATCACATGAAACACTATACAACTTTCCTTTCCCGGACCACCATGCATCTTTCCGGTGATTTTTTGCGGTAATATAAACTTTTTACTTTGTTATATAGGCTGATTTTTTACTTGGTTATATATATAATAAATTTATTATTGAAGAAAGACGCATGGTGATCTGGAGAGGGGAGAGTCGTATGGTATTCCATGCGACATTGGAGAGATGCGAAGAGCCCAGTGTAACTCTGATGTGTATTATAATATTTATTTCATTCGAACAAATAATTTTTCGAATGTACAATTTAAACAATTTTTTACTGACTAGGTTATTGAAAAAAATCACCGTAAATATCCATTCATTGAATGTAAATTTGGCGTTCCATTTAATTTCAAAACCATATAGAAATAAAAATCTTCAGAGAAGCTTTTCTTACACAAGTGAAGTAGTAATTATTGTTGGGACCTATTTGGACAGTCTGCTGTCAAATAATGAATGAAAAAAGAAACCAAAAATAATAAAGTATTGGACAGTGGATGCAGTTCAGACGCAGTAATAAGGTGGTAGAGTGCACGCATGTTCAAGTGAACATGTCTTATCGATTGCGATGAGATTTCTTTTTTCTTTTGTGTGTGTCAAAATGACATTGGTATCAAGAGAAACAAATCAAGTATTCTGGGACATGTCCTACACTTATG